GCCCTGGGCGGCGTCCGCTGGCCGGGATTGGGGTACAAGGCGGGGCGTGGCGAGCCATTGAGGGGAGCCATGACCGGGAAGCGCGAGGGAACAGTGCCCGCTCGAGTTCTTGGCGAGGATGAGGATGCGGAGTCGTTCGGACGGCCGCCAGTAGCTTGGCCAGCGTCGAGGTCAGGGAAGCTGTCGCTGCCGGGCGACTCTGGAATAGTTTCTCGTAGTGGTGTGGAGTGTCCACTGCCAGTCGTGGGTGGTCCCCAAATGTGCGGCGTCAGACCTTCTCGCTGCTGGATCTCACGTGCGCTGCTGCCAAGTGAGCTCCAATGCTCAAGCAACGTATGTTTTGGTGGGGATATGTAGATGCCGTACCGCGAGGGGGAGAGAGGACTGCCGTGTTCCTTGGACGGGGAGCCAGCTCCAGCACGACCATTGCCCAGCGGATAGCGGGGGCCTGACCCTGCAGGCTGCTCAATGGGCGAGTTGGCCTGCGACGTGTCGGCAGACCTCGACTGATTCATATTGAGTTGAGGCAAGCCCTCGAGGTTCGGGTGATAGTCTGGGCGGTTCGAGGGAGGCATTATCAATTCGAGTTGGGGAGAGGGTTTCGTAGTAAGAAGGCAGTGCCGGAGGATTGCCGTGACTGAAGGAGGGTGGGTACTTTTTCGAACCCCTAAGAATCCTTATAGCCCTCTAGCCGAACAAACGGTCCCTTATTCTCTAACCTAACGGCATTACGCTAGTTTATATACGTCGGAACAATATATAGCGAGAATAACAAAGGTATAGTTATAGGATACTCTAAGAGTAAGTAAGGCGACTCGGTCGTCCTTTTACGATACTCTTACCGCCTTTGCCCTAGCTATAATCTCGCTCTATAGTATAATAGCGGCGCCGCGTAGTAGATAGGGTTTAGCTTCTTATTCTACTAGAGGTCCGCTCTTGCCGCTAGCGTAGTTCGTATCTCGAGCTTAACTTTACCTACGCCCTAGCTATAATCTCGCTCTATAGTATAATAGCGGCGCTGCGTAGTAGATAGGGTTTAGCTTCTTATTCTACTAGAGGCCCGCTCTTGCCGCTAGCGTAGTTCGTATCTCGAGCTTAACTTTACCTACGCCTTTACTCTAGCTATAATCTCGCTCTATAGTATAATAGCGGCGCTACGTAGTAGATAGGGTTTAGCTTCTTATTCTACTAGAGGCCTGCTCTTGCTACCGGCGTAGTTCGTATCTCGAGCTTAACTTTACCTACGCATTTGCTCTAGCTATAATCTTGCTCTATAGTATAATAGCGGCGCCGCGTAGTAGATAGGGTTTAGCTTCTTATTCTACTAGAGGCTCGTAATAGCCGTAGCCGTAGCGTCCTCTTTACGATACTCCTTATCGCCGGCGTAGTTCTTATCTCGAGCTTAACCTTATCTACGCCTTTACCCTAACTATAGTCTAGCTCTGTACGTATAATAGCGGCGCTATATAGTAAATAGTATCGTAGCGCCGAGTATAGTTCTAGCTAGCGCGCTAGTTATTAATCGCTCTAGCTACGGTTACGGGATTGTTTAACCGATTGCCTATACTATATAACCTAGTCGACTATATTCGATTTCCTAGCCTAGGGTCTGTACTATATATATTCTACTTAATACTAGAACGATAGGGAACTTCGATAATATAGATAAGGTAAAGGATAGTTAAGAGTCGTAGTACGCGGTTAAGTCGTTAGTACTTAATCGAGTCGATAAACGTAGTAGCTAGTTAGCCTTTTCTAATATAGAGGACCTAGATAGATAGATTAAACGAAGTATTCGAATCTTAGGTAGGGTAGCGCTATATATCCGCAAGAATAGACCGCCGCTATTTATACGATAGAAGACGAATAAAGAACTACGAGACGAGGTAGAGCGGTTAGTACTAGAGTTAGAGCAATTACGCAAATAGGTTGCGTTTCTATTACGAAAATAATAGGTATATAATAACCTTATACTCGATACGTAAAGGTAGTAACGGAATATAGGGAAACATACTATACGGATATATAGTAAGAGGGGATAGGAAGGGTAGGGCGGTAGTTTAGGTAGCTTCCTAATACGTCGGTTTGCCGATTAGTGACCTAAGCCGGGCTAAGTCGGACAGCTAGTCGGTTGTCGAGTCGCATCGCTAATTTAAACGGTAGGGCGGTAGTTTAGGTAGCTTCCTAATACGTCGGTTTGCCGATTAGCAACCTAAGTTAGGCTAAGTCGGATAGCTAGTCGGTTGTCGAGTAGTATTACTAATTTAAAGGGCAGAGCGGTAGTCTAGGTCGCTTCCTAATGTGTAGGCTTACTAACTCGTATTCTAAGTCGGTTATCGAGTCGTATCGCTAATTTATACCTATAGTAGTAGTTATTAATATTATACGCGGATAAATACAAAGTTAGGGCTTGCTTTACTTCTATTAACATTTTATAGCGTATCTACTATATCGACGTCGACTCTATATACTACTTCCCCCGCTCGTAATACTAGCGCCGACGTACGCTATAGCTATATCCTATTATACTTTACCCTTTTTCCTCTTTTTTTCCTTCTCGAAGCCGAGCGATTATTATATATCCTAAGCTCGTACCTATCTACTTATAACCTATACTACTTATATAATTATAGCTAATACTATTACAAATCGGTAAGACTCTGTAAAATCTGCCCTCTAAACGCCGGCTATATAAGATACTCTTCTACCTATTTAAATATTAGCCTCCGGAGTCTAGTAATTATCGATAATAATAACGGTATTCGTAGGGGGGAGGTTTATACTAGTTGTAATCTAGCTTGTATATACTACTATAAGCTACTTCTCGTCGCTATATCTATTTATCTTGTTCCTCGTAGATACGAACTCTTTAACAAGGTCGGCACTAGTAGTATTAGTCTAGCTACTCTAAGTATTAATAAGGATTCTATACGCTATATTGCTAGTGCTTAGGATGTTATCGTAATACTAGGTGCCTTCTTTCTATATAGCTAGCTACTAAAGATACTATAAAAATGTTAGTCTTATATACTTAGTAGATAGGGGCAGATAGATACGTACTAAGTCTACTACGAAGACATTCTACGGCTTAAAGCTAGCTAGCACAATCTTACTTCTATACCTGTGCTAGCGCTGCTTACTACGCTTTATTCGGATTATATACCGTAGCGATACTATAACTGGCTCGTTATATAGTGTTAGTATATAGTCCTAGAGGTAGGTATCTAATAAACCGTAGTCGCGTATCCTAGGAAGCGTGTTTTTAATGTCCTATAGTATAAAAGTACTAAGTTCCTTAATTAATTCCTTATCGCCCCCCTATAGTACGAGAAGTAGCGATAGAAACATAGTAAAGACCTATATTATCTTAGATATATATATAAATTTAATATCTTCCGCTACATTCTATTTTTCGACCTACTCGCTTAATACTATATCTTCTATAGATTTAAATTATAAGCCGATATTAAAATACGAATATAGTAGATAATCGATAGCCGGTATATGCGGAGTATTAGGTATAGGTTGCTATATTAGCGTCTTCTTAAGGCGAACTATTTTCGATAGTAACTAGAGGCGAAATTTGTCGAGCGCCCGAGTATCTTTATCTATAATACTTAGTTCTATTCGACCTACGGTCGCGTTAGAGTATTTAGATTGTAAGTACTTAGAAACCTAATTACTAATATACCTAGCCGAGTCGGAGATATTACTATCGTCGCTAAACTAGAAGTTACATTCTATATCGCGCGTCTCTTTAGTCGATAGCAATTAGTCGACGAAAGTAAACCGTGCTATAGAAGGCGACTAAATAGGGCAGAGGTAACCCTTTATATCGTAGGCCTTAACGTATCTCTATACCGAGGTAGTTACGATAATAGCTAAATTAGATAGTTTGCTAAATAGGGTACTACTTAGGCTAAGAACGAAAGGATAGCCTATAAGACTAGCGACGGCAGTCTACTCTTTAGCGCTATATGTCTTAGTAATATAAAACTTATCGACAATAATAGTCGTAGCGAGTATACGAAGTAGCGGCGGTTTCGAATTAGATTTGTCTAGCTACTTCTCGGAATTCTATTTCTTAGCTCGTTTATACGTTATAAAATCTAGTACGTTAGATATTATAGTCGAGGTAGTAAGGACGATCTAGTTATAGTACTATAGATAAGGGGTTACTTCTATATCCTCGTATTTAAGTAATAAACGTACCGGGACGCCTTTTTTTTCCTACTACTTATCTATAACCTCTATACCGAAAACCTATTCTAGTTCTAGCCGAGTCGGGAGCGCTATATAATCGAGATAAAGAACGTTATCGATATATACGACCTAGTTGTAGTTCTATAGACTAGCTCTATTGCGTCTCTTATCTTTCGTTAGCTAACTAGAGTCTTTTATAAGATATACGAATATAGCTCCGGGTAGTATAAAGTTATCGATCTTATATATCTAGTTTTCGGCTAGCTACTTCGGAATATAGATAACGTAAACGCTAGGGCGGATAACCGGCTTTATACCGCTAGCTAATACCTACGGATCGAACGTAATTTTCTCGTTTAGCCGAAGTCCTAGGTTAACCGACGAATTAGATAGCCGAAAAGGATAGGCGTTAGTAGTTAATAGCCCGTTATTACTCTATACCCTCTACTATATCGAGGTTATAGCGACGTACCCTAACGTATATACCGTCTTACCTATATCTACGTCTATACTACCGATATAGAAGTCCGCGCTAGTAACGGAAGCTAGAAGCGTCTAAGTAATTATATAGAATTAGTAAGACTTTAACGGACGAGTCGATCTCTAATTAGGTAGAATAACGCCTATACGTAGCGAAGTCTAATAGGGATCGAGCAGTCTAAAATCGTATATTAACTTAAAGTTCTTAGCGTCGAGGTAGGAGTATACGTTACTAGATAACTGCTTCTCGACGTCGGTTTCTATATCTAAATCTATCGACTAGCTAGGTACCGCCGACGAGATCTAATCGATAAAATCTACTAACGTCTAAATCGGTAGAGGGTTAGCTTAGACTTCTACTTACGTACCCGGTAGTCGTACGGCGAGGTCGGGCTTATTCGGATCTAGTAGCGATACGATCTAACTCGGTAACGACTCGGTCTATTTCTAGCGAATTCGATTTCGCTTTAAGTCGATTATATCTCTAGCCTTCTTACTATTAGTATTATCGGCTTTACTTGATTTAATTTTTCTATCGTCCTTAGTATTATTACTAGTATTTCTCTACGCCGGAGGTTGTGCTAGGGATAGTACTAGTCTATTTAAAGGTAGCAATATCTTAGGTAGAGTAGAAGCAATATAGGCCTTTATCGTATACTCTATTATATCGGGCTATATAGAACGGACGGCCGTTCGAACTAAATCGTTAAAGGCGACTAGAAGTAAAGCAGTATCCCTATTATAACCGTTATCGTAGAGCATCTTATTAACTGCCTTATCGATAGCCTACTAAATCGCTATTATATCCGTAGCGACGTCGGCTATAGCTTTTTACGCGGCTGCCTACTAGGCTACCTCTTACTATTCCTATATCCTCTAGAATCTATCCGCGATAACCTGTTTATAGCGCTCGCGATTAGCGCGATCCTTATAAGCGAGTCGGTCGTCCTTAGCTTACTTAATAGCTAATTTCGTAGGCGACTACGGACCCTAACCGATATTAATTTTAGTAGGATTACTAGCTATAGAAGCACTATACTAAGTTAGGTCGATAGTTCTAGAAGTCTTTAGTAGAGACGGTCGACGATATATAGAAGGTATCCTAGTATAGTCTATTATATTTTTGCCGACGAGGAAATCGAGTCTCGTAGAAATCCTAGTATCTAAGCTATTATATATCTCTATAGCTAGGGAGTAGAATATCCGATTAGTCTTGTATTTAGAAAGACCTTTAGGGCCGCGAGCTATATCGATTACTACGAAGAATTCGTACTTTTACTATTCGGGCGATAGTAATAACTCTCGTACGAGCTAGAGCTGTAACAAATCCTTTATACTAATATTATTAGAAGTCTTCGATTGTAGGATAGACTAATTTAAGCTAAAGACCTCGTAGTCTGCCGTTAAAGGTAACCGCTAGTCGATAATACTAAAGTATAACGTAATCTTAGCCTAGTCCGGCTTAATAGGGCGTAGCGCGTCGGATATTACTAGATTAGTATCCTTACTACCGTACGAATCTTCTAGCGTTATCCTCTTAAATACCCGACCGGCTCTACTAGTCTTACTAGTAGAGGTAGAACTTGCTTTATACTCAGGTATAGAGGGCGTAGTTTATCGGGATCTATTAGTCTCGCTCTCGGATACGTCTTCCTCTTTAGTATTATTACCGGCCGGTAGGGTAAACTTGTCCCTTATAACCTTCTATATAAGGCGGTATACTAAGTAGACTATAGACCTCTAAATTTAATTATTCGGACTATTTGTATTGTCCTACGGAAGTATTCCCCTAACGTACTACTTCGGAGCCTATTTAGGATCTTTAAAGTACTATTCGGCTATTAATAGCCTACGTCTAGGTTTAGTAGGATAGTTAAGGTTACTAGCAATAGCGTATACTATGTCTTTCTCCTCCTTATAATGCCCCTTAACGGGCTAGCGAAGCTACTTCCTATTCGACCGGTTAAATAAAAAATGTTTCTCTAGATATAGAAGGAGCCTTTTTATTACTAACTTAAGAAGAGGCTTATCGATGCTATATAGGTTTAGTATAATATGTTTAGGGACGTCTTTGCCGTTATTTAAGGCTTTAATTAGTAGCTCGTTATTATTTAACTAGTCCTCGATATTCGTAGAGACTACTATCTTAGTAAAGGTAGTAGGCGACGAGTTTGTAACTAGTATATAGCATTAGTATATAACAGGTTATACTAATTAGTAATACTTATATAGTAGAGGTTAGAGACTATAGATCGATAACGACGTATACTATCCGAGAGTAGTAGAGAAACTAATAGAGGTAGTAAAATTCGCTATACGTTAGGGTTAGCGGAGGTAAGAATAGGAGCAGAGAGCTACTTATACCTACCGACCCTAACGCGAGCCGTTAGAGTTACATTATATAATAAGTGTCTATATATACTAGCTTAATACTAGTCGAGCACGACGGCTAGGTTATATAGTACGGCCTATATATAAGTTAGAATAGGGCATTAGCGAAGGAAATAATATACTATACGTACGATAGGGAGGGTAAGGGGGTATATATATATAGAACAGGTATATTAGTGTAAGTTAATAGTAAATATTAAAGAAGGTAGTAATTAGGAAAGGTAACGACCTTAAATGCCTACCTCGTAACCGGGTCGGTTAGCGAGTCGGGCCTAACTAGCTAATAAATCGACGAAGTAAGGTATCTAGCGCTTAAGTATATAATAGTTTAGTTACGCAACTAGTAACCGAAGTAATAAGGCTATAGATAATCGTTATAGTATAAACCCCTATACGATAGACGGTTCTAGATATAGGACTAATAAGTCGTAGTAAACATAGTACTACGTAATAAGTAATCGAAAGTTAGTAATATAAATATAAGCCTATCTATAGCAGAGTTGCGACTACGATCGCCGGCGCGGGACGCGAGTGCTAATAAGCTACGTAATGTAGCTAAATTAACCGATCTATATCCTTATAGTAACTAACAATTATTATACGATAGCGAGTAGACTAGACCCGCTATAGTACGAGGGTATAGGCTAGTAAGGCGGTTAGTCTTAGGACCCGAGAGTAGGGTATATAGATAGTTCGAGCTAACGATTAAGATAGCATATTTTCTATAGATGCTACTAACTCTATCGGCGGCGAAAAGGCATATATTTAGCTATAACGAGTAGCAAACAAAGGTATAAAACGATCGAAATATTTTATAAATCGTATACTAGAGTAGTAGTCTAAGTAGGAGGCCGAATAAACGACCGTATATAAATCCGTAGCAATATAATATACTAGGCGTAAGGCTAAGAAGCGAGATAATAGATAACGTAATTTGCCGAACCCGCTACCGAAGTTAGTAATAGAGGATATAGAAGTTGTCTAGTAGGCTTAGTACCCGATTCGATACCAAATTAGGGCCCGAGTCGGTATTAGTAAACCCCGCGACTAGAGTAGTTCTAGTTTCTACTACTAACTAACGTCGACTTTCTACTACGCTATATATATAACTACCGCCTTTAAGAATGCTACGTACTTAACTACCTCGCGATTAATATTTAATAGGCGGTATTACCCGCGGCCTTAGCCTATCGCCGTCGATATACTACGCATTTTACGCTAGCGTCGAGAGGTTAATTTAGGAGTCTATTTAGATTAGTAGCACGTTCCGATTACTATTATTACTAGAACGCCGAAGGACGTAAGGTTACCTATACGACCTAGTATTAATAGACGAGAAATACGAAGAAGAGTTCCCTAAGGCAGTAAAGCAGATCTATACGGTAGAGGGACAGACTACGTTTAGGTACCTAGTATATAAGATTTGTTCTAATTATCGCCGACAGACGAGACGAAAAACGGTACGCGTAATAACGCGTAGAGTCGGCGATACTAGCGATTACGTAGAAATTGCTATATCTATAAATACTAGACTAGCGATACTAGAAGGATCTATAGCGGTGCCGCCGTACCGCGTACTAAATAATATATAGTAGAGTATAGTTATAGTATAAGAGCAGAATAGGAAGGTAAAACCTATATATCGACTATATAAACTCGATTATCGCTAGCCTATAGTTAAAGGCCGCGCGTTAGTAGGAGTCTATAATATAAACCTCGAACGATTAGTTAAGATACTGCGGGTAGATTATAGTTTCGAAGCTAGAGTCGACGCCTTATATTAGATAAGCGACTAAGATAGATACGTTCGAATTAATAACGAGCGATAGTAGAGGGCTAGTCTATCCGATATATTAGGTAGAGGCCTATAGCTGTAATTTGCAATCTATAGGCAAATTAAGGAGGTAGAACGAGCGTAAATATAAACGCAGAAAAGCAAGATAAATAATTAATTTTACTAAGTCCGATATAGAAGTCCTACTCTAATAGTAATAGGCACTAATCTATTTATTAAACGGAAGGCAAGATACTCCGGCTACGATAAGCACTACGCTTTAATCTTAGATATATACTAATATATAGTAAGTATATTACGTATAGTAGTCTTAAGCGCCGCGATCTCTTCCTTTATCTATTTAATCTTAGCCTATATTTAAGCACCCTAATCGCGCTATAGCGATAGCGGACGCGGGGTAGCGCGATAATTAAGGAAAGGCTAAATCGGCTACGATTACTAGTCGTTAGGCTAGGGTAGATTATATGCCTCTAGCTAATCTATTTCGAATTGCATCTATCGAGTATAGGGCCTCTATAGTATTATTAACCTCGAATTAGCTAAATACGCCGATAGAGATAGTTCTAACTAACCCGTAATGCTACGAGGTAGCTTCGAAGGTATATATTCAACCTAGCGGATCAGCTAACGCCGATTGATTTACTAATAAAGAATATATATCTATATATACCGTAGTAGCGACCGAGCGAGGAATAAATAGTCTAAATACGCCGATTGCTTTAGTACAATATCGATAGTATTACTATATACCGTCGGCCTAGACTATAATAATTACCGCTAGACTAATAATAGCGCTAGATTAATAGTTCCCGAATCCGACTCGCGACCGAATCGGGCTAGCGTTAACAAGGTACGAAAATAGCGAATAGTCTATAGGCTACGATTATGCTTTAGTATTAGCGGGGTATATCCGATAGGACTAATAAGCGATTATAGACGGCGACTCGGGTAGTATATATAGGAGTAGAGGATAAAACCGTAATTTAATACCCCCCTTTTCGTAGGATAAATAAGCACTAAGACGCGTATAGTCTAATATATACTACGTTAGATTCGTAATAATACTACTACTCGTTATAGTACACTTAGGATAGGTCGCAACTACAAAGAAGATAAATATAGAACTTAATCGTTATCTAACTTAATAGAGTCGGATAGGGATACTAGAATTAAAGAAGAAAATAGGGAAGAGACTTATTTATATATAGCGACTAGCATTAGATCGAAATTTATAAAGGTAATATATACTAGAGCACGGCGATAGAGGACTAACGTAACTAGTATAAGAGTAGGAATAGCAAAGATCCGGCAAGGCTAAAATAGAAGTATAGCGACGATAGGGCGGATCGGAGCGACGATATAAAGCTATTAAAACGACGTAAGAAGCGAGATAAAGGCTTAATAACTACTAGTAAAGAACGTTTAAATCGAAAGAAGGGCTTACTCGAGGCAAGGGAGCAAATCTTATATAACGAGACGCGTCGTAAACTATTCGCTATTACGTTAACTAGAGCTAGAGGATATAAGACGATATTTCCTAGTTCTTAAACTATACTATAGGTAGACGAAACAATTAAGGAGGTATATAGTAAAAGCTACGATCGATTACTAGCTTTACGTATAATAGTACTATAGCTAGGTAGCTATATACCGTCGAGAGACGTAATCTAAGTAGTCGGTAGAGATCCCGATATAATAGTATCGAGACTAATTTTAGAATAGTTACGAGAAGCTATACGAAAGGAGCGAGGCTATATTAATACCTATATCTGATCGACCTTAATAAACTAAGTACCGATCGTAATAACCGATACTCTAAAAAGGATAGTATACGCTAAGAGGATACTCGATAACTAAATCTTCGAGTACTACGACGAGAAACTAGTAAGACCCTCTCTAAAATAGTATAGTTACTAGATAATAGCTAACGGTCGATATATACTACGCGCTACCTTAGTAAGCTTATATATAAATGTCTAGCGGGTATACTATTCCGGTAGGATCGGCGAGGCTAGAAGACATATATTAAATAGTACTACTACAAAGTTACCCCTTTTATAATATTGTCTACTACTACGGTACTTAGTAGAATACTAACCGGATAGTCGATAGAGTCGTATTTAACTAAAGTTAGAAGTAAAGCGATCTAGCTAGCCTTATATTATAAGTTAATATACTAGCCGTTCCTAGATCGGATAACTACGTAGAATACGACGGATTAAGCTACTCGTAACCTTCGGTTGTCGAAAGCGTAAAAGATATACGTACTATATATAGGTAGAGTATAAGATATCCCTAAATTATTAATAAATAACTTCGAGAGCGTACGTAACGATATCGATATACTTATAGCAATCGACGTCGTTTTAGATTCCGACGATAAAGGCGGATCGATCGAGCGCTATAGTAAGAATAGTCTACGAGCGCCGTGTTTCTCTTACCTACTAACATAATCGATAGGTCCTAAAGCGTCTACCGGGTAATAATTAAGTAAACAACTCAAAGCCGGCGATAATACGATAAATAAGTTAGTAGAGGTAGAGGCCCTACCTAAGAAAAACGATATTAGACTACCTATACTATAGAGCAGTTTCTAAGCGATAGATTAGGAGCCGACGGAGGCTACTAATCTGTTTACTTCGGTACGGGGAAGTAACGGTATAAGTGCTACCGAGATAATAGGATATAATAGAACCGAAGACAATTAATATAAAAGGTATAGATATACCGCGGTAATAAGAATAGGGAAAGGATTACGCGCTAATTACTATACGAATAGCAGGTATTCTAACTAGTTTTACGTAATAGATAAGACTTTATTCGTAGCGGTAAGTAATCGCGTTAGGGATATATTAGGGCTAGAAGAGGGGGAGTAGATATAGTAGGCAGATATAGAGGCAGACGGCGGCAAAGTCGAGGAGATAGTATTTAATAAAGAGACGTAGGATCGAAGAATTAGGAGATATATAGTAAAAGAGAAGAAGAAGTCGAAAGGAAATAAACGAAAGAAGGTAGATATATATCGCTTTAATATAGCTATAGAAGACGAATAGAATATATTCTTATTAACCGTAATAAATAGATGCCTTATATAATATAACGAAATCTATTAATACTATACAAGTCGGTCGCTAAGTTAGTACTTACTTAGTATACGTAGTAGACGTATACAAATGCTAGTAGTTATCCGAGTATACGTATAAACGTTAGATATTAGTAGAAGCAATAATCGTATAATATATAGATCCGATAGAAAATGTAATTTAAAGGCTAGTACTAGTACCTACGACGACTCGAGCCTAACTCGATATACGAGTTAGACGGTAAAGAATAAAATTCTAACTACGATTAGATTTACTAGAATTTCTAGATCGCGACGATCCTATTAGATAAGATCTTTAACGTACGATCCTAAGGATCCTAAGCGATCCTATCGATAGGATCGTCGCGATCGGTAAAAAAGTTTCCGTAACGTTTCTAGCAAAACTACGCTAGCAAAAGTGCTTAATACGATAACGATAGATACCTAAGGCTCTAAGAATACCTTCTACTAAGCTATAACCTTAGCTATAGCTACTAGTAGGAGAATAGTATCGTAGATTTTAGTAGATAAGACCTAGCGGCAACCTTAAGGCTAAATTAAAAGGAAGTATAACGCTAGTAAGACGAGGATACTAAAGTAGAGGGCAAGTTAATACCGAGCCTTAGCGAGTGCTTAATTTTTTCGAAACGCTAACGCTAGTAAGACGAAGATACTAAAGTAGAGGGCAATTTATTACCGAGCCTTAGCGAATACTTAATTTATCCGGAACGCTAACGCTAGTAAGACGAGTATACTAAAGTAAAGGGCAAGTTAATACTAAGCCTTAGCGAGTGCTTAATTTGTCTAGAACGCTAACGTTACGAATAGGAGTACTAAAGTAGAGGGCAAGTTAATACCGAGCCTTAGCGAGTATTTAACTTATCTAGAACGCTAACGTTAGCAAAAAGATATAGATACTAAAGCGGTAGGTATAGGGGGTTTAAGAGGAGCCTACGACGACTATTCCCCTCTACCCTAAGCGATAACGTTATAAAAGAAAGGAGTAGTCTACTAGCGCTTAAAAAGGTAGGTTTATATAGACTATATAAAAGTAAATAATAGTCTTTAGTGCGTCCCTGCTACTCGTTTGCTACTATATAATAGAAGCCGCCTTCTATTCCTTTTTAGATATAGTTCTTAAATATAGGAAGAGCTAGCTACTTCCCTTAACTTCTATATTTGGAACTTCTACCTCCTCCGCGATTTACCTTTATAACTTCTAGCTATACGACTTCCGCTTCGTCTACCTTGCTTCTACTTCGTATATCCTTCTTCTTTTAAAGATAGCGGTACCGTACGAGATATCCTATACGTTATCGGACGCCTAAATATATAGCGCTAATATATATAAGCCCTACGCCTTCCGAGATTAAGTATACGTCTATAAAGTATATCTATACCGTAGTAACCGTACGACTAGCCGCCGACTCGAGCGCCTATTTAATAAGGAGATAATCCCTCCTATACGCGACCTCTACTAGTAGATAGGCGATGCTATAAAAGATAAAGTAACGGAGGTATATAAGACAACCGAATATATACTACTTATATATTTTAAATACTATACTACGAAGGCTATTAAGCCTGTTCTATATACCGCTAAAAGCCGTCGCTATATTTATCTAAGAGCCGAGATTAATACTATTATTTAGTAGAATATACCTACCTATTCCTATATAGCGTAGGTTAGTTAGCAATTTAAGTACTAGTCTAGATAAGTAGCTACCGGCGTACCTAGCGGTCTACTAAAGAAGAATACGCTAGCAGATTATATAGCGGAAGAGTCCGATAGTAAGTATAATAGTAACGGTATTAAGGGTATCGATTAGTAGCGCTATAATAGTCGATACGGTAAGCGTAAGAAGGTTCGCTACTTCTAGAAGGGCAAGCGTCTTCTACGCTAGTATAAGAGCTATCGTACTATTAAAGCCGCGAAGAAGAAGCGTAAGCGCGTTATAGATAATATCGTAGGGTTATAATAGATACCGTTAAAGCGAGGAGGTAGGCATAGTAGTAGTAGTTGCCCTTTCTTAATATCTTAGACGTAGAATATATCTATCCTTATAGGCTACCTCTATTTAGGCGCTTCGTAGTTAAATCCGTATATACTGCTCGTAACTTCTATTTCTATACTATACTATATTAAGGTTAGCGCTATTCGAGATCTTATTCTAGCGAAGCGCCTAAAGCTAAACCGTTACTAGCGGGTATAGGTTGCGTTACTACTACTATATTTTATATCGAATAGGCTATATAGCTTAACAACTATTAGTCGTAGTATAGCACTTTATAGAGACGGGACCTAGATAATTTAGCGATTAAGAATATCCGCTATTTTAATAAGCTAGTCGCTTTAGAAATGCTAAAGTTATTATCGATAAACGTAAATTACTACTCTCGACTAACTCGTTTGCCTACCCTATATGCTTTATAAGTAAACAAACGACGCCCTTCTACGTTAACAAAGTGTAAGGGGTCTACCTTTCTAGTGCCCTCTATAACCTCCGCGTATCTATTTACTATATAATTTAGTCGTATACTCGTCTCGACTCGGTAGGGCAAACGGATAGCTATATTAAGTCGCGTCGCGAGATTTAGTATAACTTAACGCGTATACGTCGTATATACGGGATTTTTAGATCGTTAGACTCGCAATTAGTAGAGCTATAACCTTCTTATATTAGATTTACGGGTTGTAACTTGTCGTTAGTATAGCGAGATCGTATTTTAATAGCGGAATCTACGTATTAGGACTAAAGAGGCTATACGTAATTAGTATATAACTAGGCTCGAGTGAAGCTAGGGTCTTAATGCCTTAGGCAGGGCTTGGCGCTTAGTAATAGGCTAACTTGCCCGCTTTCCTCCCTCTCCTCCTAGTTCTTTATCGAATACTACCTATACCTACTACTACCCTATCTACCTACTAATATACCCTTCTTATATAGTATTCGATCTACCCTTTAAGGGTAGTAGCTAGATAGTCCTTATTTCAAGCTTTTAGCGGTATAGCTACGAAAACTATCGATTTAACTATATTGCGCCTAAAGAACGGGACCTATACGTACTACTCTATTAAAACAACCGTACTAATTATCAAGCAAGGCCTTCTATACGGCCTATTATACCGAGTTAATCG